TCCCTACAAACACAAAGCATATTTAAATCAAGATAAAACGTCGATTATTTTTAAACCTGCAGAACCCGGATAAAAACCGTGCACTGAAAACTTTTTTCAGACAGTCTTACAGAGTGTTTTAAGACTTTAATCCGAGTATTTTAAAACAGATTTATTCCTGCACGTGTCAAATAATACCAATGCCAGTTTTCTATGGTTTAAAATATTTTACTTGTTCAATAAAACACCACTTAAAAACACCAAGTTAAGCCCCCAGGGTTTAACTGGGAGTTGAGGAGAGTAATCAGTTCCTTTGTATATCAATAAGTTTAATTAGTGGACAAATTTGTATTAACCACTATTGATCTCTATACTAAGCAATTCTTCTACAGTTAATTTTACATAATTCAACTCCTCTTAATCTATTTAAAACAAAATTTCAAGTTCCAGTCATAAAATAAAATGCACTGGTAACGAGCATATTACATAATGCACTGACAGTCTGACTGTTCTGAGCTCCCTTAATGCTTAATGATGGAACCAGATTTAATCAAAAGAATTTACATCTCTCCGACGAGTTTGGAATCCACAGGGGTCAATATAATTCCTTTTTCAATCCCATTTGGGATTGACAAATTTGAAAGAAATGGGGGCAAATTCTTTCATTGGGGGCAAATACCAGTAGCAAAATCTGGATCCAGCTAGGTAAAAAAACTCCATTCTCATGCAGGCCTTCAATGTTTCTTGTGGTGTTCCGTTTTTTTCTTTTCCATTAGTGTGCAGGGGTTTATACCCCCCATATAAACCCCCTGGCTAAAGTTTCTCTAGTTTGCCATTTTCTCTGTCTCACCCTGTATCTCTGAATACTGTAAGAAGCGCCTTTCAAGACCCAGTGTTACTTCTATTCTACAAATTATATTTTAAACAATTAGAAGATAAATATTTTGTAACAACATGTCTTCGGTTACTATGCAATGAAGACCTATTGATATGATATTTTGCTTAGCAAATTAGCTTTTATATTCACACTTCTTTTAAATGAGATGACTCGTGATTCCAGAAAGTCAGACATTGTTCAAAATTGATAATACGGTTAGGATTGAGAAAAGCTGGCAACCATACATGAATTACCTACTAAAAAGGAATTGAGTTTCTGTCACAACCTCAAATTTTCTAATCTTAAAACTTTTTTGCAACCTGATGGTGTAAACCTTTTTTTAACAATTTATTTAAAATTTAAAATTTTTTTTAAATGAGCAGTGAATTTTTTCTCCGACCATTGTATCTTTTTTTATCTCATCATACATCTGTTTTCTGTTCTTCTCTTTTTTGATCTACGCATTTAATCTCTTTTAGACAAGGGAAAAATGCATTTTTACACATATTTCTGATTAATACTATTCTTAAATTTAATATCTTGGCGCCAGAAATATCAAATTAAGTATAATAGAAAGTTACTGTTTGTGAAGAGTAGATAGTATCAGATGAATTTGCAATTACATATTCTCTATCTAAATTTTTTAATAACTTTAAAATTAAATTTAGATATTTTTATACATTTCAATTTTTCTTTTAAATTTAACAATGTTTTGACTTGTATATTATATAATAACAATGACGTTATTTCAATTGATCCTCTATTTAAAAAGGACATTCTCGATTCACAAATGGACTATTTAAACCTTTGTCCATGGCCCACCAAATTTTAATATCCTTATTTTCTATTTTAAAATTGAATAAAAAGTTCTTGTGGAACACTTTTCCGTAAAAAAAACGACAACCATCTTCCTTAAATCTGATTGTTTGAAAGTTTAAAGGGTTCCGCAGTGAATCGAGCTTCCAACTGGAAATACGTTGATAATCCCTTTAATCTTATAATGTGTTATTTCTGATCTAAACTTAAAATGTCTTCATAAGTAATTACATGAATATTGTCTTCTTAATATTTTCATTGCTTTCACGATTCACATTCAAAAAAAAATATTCCAAATTTAATCTATTATTTATCTAATAATTCAACTATTAATATCAAAAGAACCGATAAAATTAGGCATCATTTTAAAAAAGATTGATTATTTTAGTAATCATATAATTAAAAAAACTAAACACTTTTATGACAGTTTAAAAATTGTCTTTGAAAAAAGCAGGACTTCCAAAAAGAGCTGTGTATAGTTCAGGGCAGCAGCCAGGAACATTCTTACACTCAGGAACGCCTTCCGCCGCGCAAACACCCCTCCGCCTGAAAATTTAAAATATATATGGATTATTTAAAAACAATCAATTTTCACAGTGTAAAACATTTCTTTCATTTTTTATCATATTAACAACTTTTAAGTGTACCATTGTTAATCGGACTCGGTAAATGGAGGTTTACATCAAGTTTAGTCACCAGTCCTTATACAGACATTTTTTGTGAGTACTACATTACAAAACTGCATTACAAAACTACATTACAAAACTACATTACAAAAATACATTACAAAACTACATTACAAAACTTTTTAAAAAACTGCGTTGCTAAAAGACGCACTCCGTCACAATTTCACAAAGTGAGTTTTTTAATGTTTCGAAAAACACTAAAAATTTTAACTTTTTCTTAGAATAATTTTTGTTTTTAAAGTTTGTGATAAAAATTAATCTGACGCTGTTGAGTATTTTAAAATTACGCTTATAATACTAATATTGCATCATTATGATTATTTTTAGATTTTTTAACACAAAATTAAATGAAACGTTTTAGTTTACTCTGAAATAAAAGAATTCATGTTAAAAATCTAATAATACTTACTTTGCTCTACTTGTGCACTTAGCAGGACATTTTGGGGCACAGCAGTTAGGGTCGCCAGAGAACTCCCTGTAGAAAAAAATAAAATATTAAAAAAATTTGTAAACAGTGTGTCTCACTAAAAATCCTAATTTAAAATGAATGAAACCTGGACTAACACAAAACATACTCACTTTAAATTATAAAATAAAAAATCGCTTATTTTGATGTCATCCACATTTTTGCTGCCCATTACGAGATTTGTTATTGAATGTAAGCGATTGTTGCAGTCGCTCAATTGGCACTTGGCAGGCATCCATTTTTTGCGGACAAATAAGCATTTTTAATTGAATAATTTAGAGTGCATATTCCTGTTGTGAGTATTTTATTAGTTATCTGTATTGAACAACTTAGAAAAAACTGATATAATTCAGAGTGTCCCAAAAACATGAGAAATGAGTGACCCATCGAGATATTCTTTGTATTTAACAACGCAATACTTAAGTTTAAAAGTAATAATAAAGGTCCGTTTGCCACAGCATGTCTGTAACATTTCTGCAAGAAAAGAGGAACAATTGTACTCAGGGGTGGATTCAGGGGGGTAGGACCTTCGCACCCCCCTGACAAATTAAGGGGGGCGTAGCCCCCCCCTTGTGATTTCAGAATAGCTCCTCTAGTATAAAGCAATATGTCAAAAATCATTTTAGAGACAATATTAATACCATTACTCAATTTTCATCTTTAAAGGAGCACCCTGAAAAATCATATAATATAATTATTATTGTATGTTATACAATTATGATATAATACAAATATACCGAAAGACAGAATTGTGTTTATGATTTCAAAGATTTATCTGTAATCATATGCATAATGCATATATGCATTTTATTAATATTCTTCACATCACTTAATTCCCATTTTTATTGGAACATCCTATTAAATCAGTACTTTATTTCCATTTTAATTAAACACCCTTTAAAATCATCAGTAAGTTTCCATTTTTATTCGAACACCCAGTATGAGGTGTCATTGAAATCCATTTTTATTGGAACACCCTGTAAAATTATCACTTGATTTCCATTTTTTAAACAGTCTGTAAAATTGTTAATAATTGTTTTCATTTTTATTGGAACACCCAGTAAGATGGATCATATCTGATAGTAGTTGGGTTGGGGGGTGTATTCTTATAGTACACTGTACAATCAACAAGTTTGCCCGTTATTGAAAAATAAGATAAAAGTGTAAAAATAATTTTTAAGAAATAAGAAAAAAAGTTTTAACTTATATATAGTCTTGTTTGGATTCGTTGTGTGCAGGTTATTATCTTTTAAGAGTTTTTGTTATTTTTTCATGAAACTTTTCATTTCATATCATACAGCTCTTTGGAAAGTTTTACAAAGAAAAAGTTTTTGATTGTTGTCACAGGCGGAGAAAAAAGTTTTACACAAAACCATATTTAATGCCGAGTAATTTATCTCAATGGTTTCCATGGACAAAAAAAGATTAAAGTTTAAACCAGAACTCTTTCCCGTCTTAAAACGTAAGAAATCAATACCTGGAGTTTTGTGTTCAAAATAAGAGAAAAATCGTAGTGTCTAAGATTTAATAAAAAATAGTTTTCATATAACCATGAACGGAAGAAATAATAAAGAGCATTAATAAAGGATTCATTGATCCAACACATCTCAACTATATTTCAAGGGACTGTCCACTCAGTTTTAAATGATTTTTAGAGTGGAATTTGATTTCTAGTGTGGAATTTGATTTCTAGATTGGAATTTGATTTCTAGAGTGGAATTTGATTTCTAGAGTGAAATGTGATTTCTAGAGTGAAATTTGATTTCTAGATTGGAATTTGATTTCTAGAGTGGAATTTGATTTATAGAGTGGAATTTGATTTCTAGAGTGAAATGTGATTTCTAGAGTGAAATTTGATTTCTAGATTGGAATTTGATTTCTAGAGTGGAATTTGATTTCTAAAGTGAAATGTGATTTCTAGAGTGAAATTTGATTTCTAGAGCGGAATTTGATCTCTAGAGTGGAATTTCTAGAGTGGAATTTGATTTCTAGAGTGGAATTTGATTTCTAGAGTGAAATTTGATTTCTAGAGTGGAATTTGATTTCTAGAGTGGAGTTTGATTTCTAGAGTGGAATTTGATTTCTAGAGTGGAATTTGATTTCTAGAGTGAAATGTGATTTCTAGAGTGGAATTTGATTTCTAAAGTGGAATTTGATTTCTAGAGTGGAATTTGATTTCTAGAGTGGAATTTGATTTCTAGAGCGGAATTTAATCTCTAGAGTGGAATTTGATTTCTGGAGTGGATTTTGATTTTTAGAGAGGAATTTTATTTCTAGAGTGGATTTTGATTTCTAGAGAGGAATTTTATTTCTAGAGTGGATTTTGATTTCTAGAGTGGAATTTGATTTCTAAAGTGGAATTTGATTTCTTTAAAGCTTCGTCTGATCAAGAATAAATTCAGAATTAAATATTTTAAAGTTAGAAGAAAGACAATATTTTCACCATTATTTGTTAAAAAGAAAGAAAACAAAAATCTTGAACAGACAATACATCTAACGGACAAAACATCTAACAGACAATACATCTAACAGACAATACATCTAAGAGACAATTAATTTAACAGAAAATACATCTAACAGACAACAAATCTAACAGACAATACATATAATACACAATAAATATAACAGAAAATAAATCTAACAGACAATACATCTAACAGACAAAACATCTAACAGACAACACATATAATATACAATAATTATAACAGACAATAAATCTAACAGACCATACATCTAAAATACAATACATCTACAGACAATACATATAATAGACAATACATCTAACAGACGATACATCTAACAGACAAAACATATAATATACAATAAATATTACAGATGATACATATAACAGACAATACATCTAACAGACAAAAATTCTAATAGAAAATACATCTATCAGAAAATACCTGCAATCGAAAAGACAATCCCCCTGAGCTGCTGCATCTATACACTAAAAATTACAAAAGTAAGATTTTTATTAAATTTTTATTAAATGGTAATTAGAAATAATTTGGGTCTCTTTTTTAATATAAACTTCTACGTATACATAAATATGAATGTTTTTCTTCAATATATCCTAGATTTGAATTATTTCGTTCATTGTTCACGTAAAAAGTTGGCTGTACAATTGTTTAGAAGTTGTACAACAACAAAAACTACAATTAGAATTTAGTGATTAAATATTTATGGTTTTACTTTCTCTTATAACAAATATTTACAGGGCCCCGGGATGAAAAAAATCTTATCACACATAAAACAATTTTTTCTCCAAATTCCATATTTACAAATACTTGAAAGACAGGATTTAGAATACGCTGGCTATTATTAAAATCAAAACCTATTCAGAACAAAAGTATGTGTATTTGATATTTTAGTTTAACAAATATTCACAACGTTGAAAGAAATAAGAACCTTTACATATAGAAAATAAAATATCATGCAAACATCCTTATATCATTTTAACCTTTGCTATTTTAAACTTTGAATTCTGTTAGATCAAAATTTCTAGTTTAAAAAATTAAAAATTTGTCGCCATTAGGCTGCAAAGAATTAGCTTTTAGAAAATTATACTTTTATCAGTGCAAACTAGACACAATGAAAAGGTCAAAGGAATTGAGTTTTTGTCACAAACTCTGATTTTCTTATCCCTATATATTTGCATTTCAATGTCGGAGACCTTACCTATTTCAAACTATGAATCATTTTAGATCAAATAATGATAGTTTGAAATATCACAGGTTAACACCATTAGGTTGCAAATATATAGCGATTTGAAAATCAGAATTTGTGGCTAAAACTCAGTTCCTTTGTGCGATATTAGTGGTTCGACTTTGTGACCTTGAATCTTCTCCAATTTTGATTTTACGCACAAGGATGAGAAGTTTTGTCCAGTTACATTTAAAACATATTTATTATTTGTTCTTCTGAATAGCTCTTTAAAGGGAGTGACCGGCTTTGTAAGGTAGTTGAACTGAGTATGCAGTGTTGTGGAAAACTTCTTCTGTATTCATTTGAGACATATTAAACTTTTTAAAGATCTTTAAATCCTGAGTTTGAATGCAAATTCGACGTTCAAAACTCCTGATTTGGGGGTGGATATGTTTTCAGAATAAGTTTTTTTTTTTAAATTACTAAATAACCACAATTCATAAAATGTAAAAAAGTTCTACAATAAACTACAGACGTCATGTATAGGAACATGTTGAGAAAATAAAAATTAATCTTATTATTGAAAATAAGTAATCTTGTTCAATTATTAGTTTCTATTTTCTCATTATTCTGATTTCTCATTAGTCACAAAGAGCTTTTGCAGATTTTCTAGAATTATTGTTGAAAAGACGACATTTGAAGAATTTGAAGAAATCTGCAAATAAATTTAAAAAAAATGAGAAATTCAATATAATAATGAAAACGAAAAAATCGATTTTAGCATTAATTTATTGACAAATTTCTTATGAGAAATATGTTCCTAACCATCTAATTAGATTACTGTATAATTTTTACTTTATTTTTAGTTGTCGTTATTTAATAATTAAAAAAACTAATTCCGAAAACGTATCCACCCGGCCCCAAAGTAGGTGTAGGATTCACAGATCTTTAAAAAGTTTAATATGTCTCAAAATAATCCGAAAGAAACTGCATACTCAGTTCAACTACCTTATATAGCCGGTCACTCCCTTTAATAAGAGAAGTTGTGATTTTTTAACATATAAGATTTCAATCTGAAGTGCATTTACGTTAAATGATACTCTATCTATATTGCATGTGATAAGCTTCTTTGAATAATTTTAGATATATATAATTATGAAAATAAACCTTCTCAGGACAGAAAGGTTGGGAGGAGAAGATATCCTCTGCAGACTGAGGTTCCAGGGGTTCTTGGGGTTCCTTGGGTTCCTGTGGTTGCTGTGGTTCCTGGGGTTCAAGGGGTTCAAGGGGTTCCAGGGGTTCCTGTGGTTCCTGGGGTTCCTTGGGTTCCTGGGGTTTCTGTGATTCCAGGGGTTCCAGGGGTTGCTGTGGTTCCTGGGGTTCAAGGGGGTTCAGGGGTTCCTGAGGTTCTTGGGTTATAGAGCACTCACATCCAGATATAGAACTAAATAATTCAGGGTTAAAATGGTTTATTGACAATTTATTGAGATATATAGTCTCTGTCGCGTCATCTTTCTACTTAAAGGGACTGTAAAGAAAAAATGAAAGGGGGTGTAGGACGAAGCCTAAGAATCTCAGGTTTTGAAAGATACCTATTAGACAATTATCTTTTGTTCCTGTCTCGAGAAATTGACATATAAATATTTCAAAATTATACCAAAACGGACATATGTCAGATTTGTATAAACTATTGTATTAAATAGATCATATTCAACAATTTTGCAACCAATCTGAAAACGGCTATATCTCACAGCAACCTGAGAATCTCAGGTTTGCTCCTGTTATAATTATTTAATTTTTATTTAGCATTTTTTATAGATATAATTGATAATATTATTACATTTAATCTGTATAGTCCGTATTATGTGACCTGTGCTTCAGCCAATGGCAGTGCAGTATACTGGTCACATGATTTCCGTCTGTACCACGTGACAACGATACTGCACTGTCATTGGCTGAAGTTTTTGTGACGAAATACAGAATTTACGGACTATATGTAATAATATTATCAATTATATTTTTTAAAAATGCAAAATGCAAAATAAAAATTATAATCTGAGCAAATCTGAGATTCTCAGGCTCCTGTGGGATTTAATCGTTTTCAGATTGGTTGCGTAATTGTTGAATATGATTTATTTAATACTACAACTTTTATACAAAATATGGCATATGCCCGTTTTGGTATAATTTCGACACAGTTTTATATTCAATTTCTCAAGACAGGAACATAAGATAGATGTCTTATAGTGTAAACCCATCCAGAAATGTATACGTTGATTCTAGTTCATTCAACCCAAGCTAAGTTTTATCATGAGTTGAGAACTGGACAAACAAATAATAATGATTTAACCCGTTACTCTGGAGCTGTTACCAACAGCGAGAGGAAATTTCCAGGGCAGCGAGATTCAAATCCTGGTAATCCTTATCTGGGGAACACGGATAACGGTGCTTTCGTCGGAAGAGAAAGCAAACTGAACGTCCATTTTGTCCCCGAGAAGAGGGTGAGTCTTGATGAAGGGTCAGAAGAGAGCGGTCGATAACAGCTCCAGTAGCTCCGAGAGGAGAATTAGCTCCATCTATGATTCCAGGATTAACTTCGGTTGATCCTCAGTTTGTATTTTAATAATAATGTAAAATAAATGTCTGTGCAAAGTTAGTGCTTTAATCGATTCCATCTGGCTTGTTATATTGAGTTTCTCTTTGTAAAGTTTCCTTTATTGAGTTCTTTAGATATGAGTTTCTATTAAGTTTATATGGTGGCATGCCAAAATTTTCGAGTACGCCTTTTAAAAAACAGTCCATTTAGCCAGATTTGTATCCTATATGGGTCTCCGTCGCACTCCGAAATTGCATTGCAGAGCATTTACAGCAGTGTGTCTCAGGCTCAAAATGAGTCCATTCCTGTTTACCTGGAACGAATTAGATGCCTGGGTGAAGATGGTTTCAGGCCGGCCGTCCGTTGGACTTTAAACAACTCCCTGAAGATTGTTCAGACTGTGATCTCCGGGCTCAGGTCTAAAACACTCTCGCAGTTAGTAGCCGGATACATGATATCAATTCCGTTCCAGTTTCACATGTTCCAAGACACTGTTCTACAGTTCCATACGAGAATTCCGAGTCAACATGTAGCTGTAAACTNAAATCACTTTCATTCTCTGACAAATTCGTTTTATCTTCATTTTTACCAATTTCGTCTTAATCATCATCATCTGGTTCATCTTCATGATCTTTGTCTTCTGGTAGAATAGGATTTACACAGGTGCATAAAATATAAACACTTTTTGCTAGAAAATGAGCGAAATACGCACAGTGTTTGCATGCAGTCCTGGAGATGCAGCTACCTCCTTTTTAGACGGAACGGTCAACATCAGCAATAGTTTTGTTTATTGTCCCAGAATCCTTATAAATACTAGGGTGCTTGCGCCCTCAGGCATTGCAAGTTCTAATGTTTATTTTACAAATCATCTCGGGGGTGACCTAAGTAGACTTAACCCATCGCATTAAAAGTCAGCTAACGGGGCGACTGACAATGCGACGATGACGACGTTAGGTGAAGTTAGTATACAGTTAAGGTTCAGTAAGATTAATATAACATTTAAGGGACAAGCAGTTGTGTGAGAAAATTTATCTCTGCCCATTATATTAGGGATAAATTTTCTTAAACACAACAGTTTGAGCCCGTTTCTTACCCCTCAGTTAGCACAGCTTGTGCATACCCCCTCCCTTCAAACCCAAGATTTAATTGCAAATGTGGTTGAAAACAAGTTAACCCCCCCCCCTCTAGCTCCAGATCAAGGTATAAAACTAAACGGACAACAAGTGGGGAAATTTCTCATCCCAGAAATAAACCCCCCCAGCCCCTATTCTTCAGGATATCGTGATGGGAGAAGACAGAGCTCCAATTCTGTTGATCATATCTGCTGAATGTGTATGGATTCCAGCCAAGACAGCGCATGGAATCAGAGTCGCTGTGCCGGTGAACCCTGCAGCAATCATCAATATCCTGTAGTATAAACTACCAATAGGGTGTTATACAAAAAAGACGAGTCAGTCCTACCAAACTATCAGTGCATTTGGCTTGGAGTTATGATGATAATTAAACACGAAAACAATTGATTAAATGGTACAGTGAGGCCCATGACACTAAAGAATAGGAAGAGACGATATCAAAGTAATCTCTTGTGCTGGAAAATCACCTTCAAGTGAAATGAGTCTTTGTACATTGCAATATGTGTGTTTTATGTACATTCGACTAATTCAAATGAACATGTATCATTTGTATTTTATGTACATTTGACTAATTCAAATTATATCTATATTTTACAGTTTTGTGAGTCTCAATGAATAAAAATAATGAAAATAAAATGATTCTGTTATTGAGTTATTTAGATGGAAAATGTAATATTACTTAAAGGGGTTGTTCAATAATCTGAAAATTAAATAATACGAAATTAAGGTGGTTAACGTTTCTTTTGACGGAATTTGAATGAGAGATAAAAGTATAGACATAAAATATTTTACTACAGACAGGATGCAATTCTTTATAGTTTATCGTACCCAGCAACATTTTTGGAAAAATCAAAAATTCTTATTTAAAAAATTGAGGTTTTACTTTTATTTCAATATTAGAGAACAATCCCTTTAGAACCTGAATTTTTCACATTCTGGAAGACATTCCCCTGCCTAGAAAAAAACAAACAATATTATCTAGATTATCTAGAATATCTAGAATATCTAGAATATCTAGAATATCTAGATTATCTAGAATATCTAGAATATTTAGAATATCTAGAATATCTAGATTATCTAGAAAAAAAAACAATATTATCTTGATTATCTAGAATGTCTAGAATATCTAGAATATTTAGAATATCTAGATTTTCTATGATATCTAAAATATCTAGAATATTTAGAATATTTAGAATATCTAGAATATCTAGAATATCTAGATTATCTAGAATATCTAGAATATCTAGAATATCTAGAATATCTAGAATATCTAGAATATTTAGAATATCTAGAATATTTAGAATGTCTAGAATGTCTAGAATATTTAGAATGTCTAGAATATCTAGAATATCTAGAATATCTAGAATATCTAGAATATCTAGAATATCTAGAATACCTAGAATATCTAGAATATCTAGAATATATAGAATATCTAGAATATCTAGAATATCTAGAATATCTAGAATAACTAGAATATCTTAAAAAATATCTAGAATATCTAGAAAATCTAGAATATCTAGAATATTTTGAATATCTAGAATATTTAGAATGTCTAGAATATTTAGAATGTCTAGAATATCTAGAATATCTAGAATATCTAATCTTTGTAAAGTTTCCTTTATTGAGTTCTTTAGATATGAGTTTCTATTAAGTTTATAATAGGTATCTTTCAAAACCTGAGATTCTCAGGTTTCATCCGTTACCCCCTTTCATTTTTCCTTTACAGTCCCTTTAATTAACTGTAAAATGAAAATATAATTTGAAAACATTTTGTGCTGTTTACCTGAATTTCTGACACCCCTGTTCTTTGAAGGCAGAGCAACTTGCTTTCTCTGAAAAATTCTTGCATTTGAACGTATTACAAAAACTTTTATTTTTTTGTTTATGGTTCCATTATATAAAATTATACTCTTCACCATTTGTGACATTTTTTAAAACTACATAATGTTTTGAACATTTATAAAATACCTTTTAAGTATTTGAACATTTTTTACAGTATGTACAAGTGTTTAATTATTGTGCATATACATATCTGTTATTGAATTGTTTATGATATATTTTTTTACAATCTACTCTATAGATATAGGTATACATTTAAATATTATACGAGTATCAATAGAAATATTTTTAATATTTAAAAAATTTACTTTTCTACATTATATTAATACAGGGGAAGAAAGTTCCAAACCGTAATTTGGCCCAGACCTGACACTGAGTGTCAGGTTTGGGCCAAATGTGCATGGTTATCTTTTATAATTGTTAACATTGGTCACTTTAAGTCGAAAAGTAAACAACCGTCTGCATATTTTAATTTGGAATAGTTAAGGTTACATTTGTATAACAAAATTTTAAATACCAAACCCATGCAAATAAATAAATTAAAATTTTTGATGAATATTGATTTCATTAACTGCACATTTTTGAAGCAAATGCAAAGTTTGGGCGTAAAACACGTTTTGTAACATGTCGGGATTTTGAGACATTTTACAGATTTGAAGCAATGACATGTTCAAGCATTTGCACAATTTGGTAATAAACACATATAGTAGAATTTAGATAATGATACAATAAAATATTACAAATATTACAACTTAAAAGATTGAAAAATTCTAATATTAATATTATATTGTTCTAACAATTAAATTGAACAGCAAAATGCGGATTTTTTTTAAATTGAGGAAACTTGTAAACATCTTTACCCTACATATTTAAAAGTTTAATGTGCAAACAGAATATAGAAATTATTTAGAAAATAAAGCAAATATTTTTATTAATTCATGCTATTCTGTATTTCATGAAAAGTGTGTTTTGTTCTGAAATATTGAATATTTACAAATAATAGATTGTTTAAAAGTTGGTTTATCTTCGAAATCGCGTACAAGATTCGAATTCGTGATATGTGCGAAAATCGAAAACCTTGAATTGTTTCGAAAATGGTATACGGGGTTTAATTGAAAATGAACAATCACTCACAGTTTTAATTTTAGAAAAGAAGTAAATAGTGTTATTTGTAGTTATTGTCGAGCTTAATAATATGTTAGAAATAGTTTCTTTAATTTAATTTATATTTGCTCTGGGCACAGGAAGATTACTAAAACGTTGATCATTATATTTGTGCCCAAACATGACACTCAGTGTCAGGTTTGGATATGAGAACGGATTGGAACTTTCTTCCCCTGAAATATTAAATATGTTTTTGAACATATACGAACTGTTTTTGATCATTTTATATCTATAATTGAATGTAATACAACTACAAATATGTTATTGAGCATTATATTGATTATATTATATTGTATTTATATTATTATATTATTGTATTATATTATGTTGTTTTGCAAATTATATTGATGGGTTAAACATTTTTTAACTAAGTAAGTAATATTTAGTGCACATATAACATGTGATCTTGCCATGGCTTCATTTGTGGCATGAAACGTGCTGGGTCGACTCTTCACTGGGTAGCCTGACTAAACGGTACAACTGAATGCATATACATGGTACGTGTAGTACCGGCACGAATCATGAAACTTTTAAATCTAATTGGATTGTTCATGGATAAAAGGTAAAGTGTGAACTATAATAAAATTATGAAGGAACGGGCTCAGTAATTTAATTGATTAATAATCATTGATCAATCCTCAACTATTGATTTATTTGATTAATAATCATTGATCAATCCTCAACCATTGATTTATTTGATTAATAATCATTGATCAATCCTCAACCATTGATTTATTTGATTAATAATCATTGATAAATCCTCAATTGGTTTTGAACTAATGAAAAGACCTATATAGACCTAATCACTTCACTCAAAACAGAAAACAAGAAGGATAAATTGGAGCCTATACAAAACATATCGTCACTAAACTTATCACCACAAAACTTATCACCTTAAAACATATCAAAACATATCTTATCAGCGAAAAAACTTATCATCACAAAACTTATCTAACAACATAACTTATCAAAACAAAACGTATCAAACTCAAAACTTATCAATAAAATTCATGAATCTAAAATTTCAAATCGTGGAAATGTTCCAATAATTGTTTAAAAATCCGCGAATTTTCATAAAATTTAGCGGTCGGAACTTTTGTGTCGTGAATTTGGAATTTTTGATCTCGATATCCAATGTGAACAATTTTAAATTTGAGGAGAAATTATTAATCTGTGGATCTGCAAAATTATAACGGAGATCAAAGGGTAATCCCGAGATTCACTGCACTAAAGTTCTGGCTTCAGTTTTTTTCATGGAAATCTTAGAATTTGAATTATACATAATTTTAACTCACCTAAAGTCTCACGACACTTTGCCGGGCAAACCTATAAATATACAATAAAAGGGACAGGTTGCGAATTTTAACAGTAGTGACTAGGAAGCAAGCACATGCTAAAGAAACTGATTGCTTACAACAAATTTAAATGTTCTGATCCTTATATTATCACAACCTACAACCTTTCATATTTCAAAGTTCCTTTTCAATTTATAGTGTATTAAATGTCCTACTTCATAAGGGTTCCTCAACCCGTATCTATCCAATTTCACTTTTGGGTTTAACTAGCTTCAAGGGTGGGGGTGGGGTCTCTCTAAAAACAGACGGTAGTTGGGGGTAGTAAGGGTAGTTATAACTACCCCAACTACCGTCTGTTTTTAAAAAGACACCATTGAAGCAGAAGCTGAAACTTGTCAGGGTAGTTGGGTTTAACTACCCTTACTACCCCAACTACCGTCTGTTTTTAGAGGGACCCCACCTCCACCCTTGAATCTGAATCTGTATAGGAACTACCCTGACTACCCCAACTACCTTCAGTTTTCAAAAAGACCCCATCCCCACTCTTTGATTATTCTTTGCGCATGGTATACAATATGGGTATCGATTCACATTAAATTAATTATTTTAAGCTTGTTTCTGGCATTCATAACACTCTCCAACCTTTACTATCCTCACCACCCACCTTCTGAAGGGTGCACATTTCGTAGTCGAAAAAAAGGCATTTTATACATACAGTAACACTACTGGGTCCTTATATACCTGTTTACAAGAGCACTCATCAAGATCTGAGAAGGATAAACAAATTTCAGGCATTTCCTGACATTCTCCTGAAATTAATATATTTAAGGTTTTTCTTGACATTCTCATAAAATCAATATATTTCAGACATTTTTTTGACATTCTTATATTAAATTATTTCAAATAAAATTTTCTAATTTCTAGATCTCTGTAACCTGATGTTAAGTGTTTTCAGAATTGTTCTTATATTACCTGATTGAATAAACGAAGTACACATTGCCGGACATTGTCTAAATTATTTTACTTTTGAAGAAAAGAAAAAATGCGGGAAAATTCCAATAATTGATGTATTTTTATTGATAAATAGATAATAGATATTGACAAATGTTTACTTCTCAAATAACTGAAAATGTTTAAAAAAGAATATTTTCTGATCAGTAAATGTACCAAAAAAAAATGATAAAACTTAATGGAAATGTTAAGACTGATTTGATACATTTTACGAAAGTTTAACTGTAGAGAATGGTGAGAAAAAATACAAAATACACATGTTTTCAGGTTCGTTTTGATCACACAATAAGCTTTAATTTACAAAGAAGAGGACAGGAATACGACAATCCAATCCAACCATCAGGTCTTTGCGTCGTCGTAACACCTCTAGATTTTATTTAACAACCAAGAGTTAGAAAGGCAAATTTCGTTCAATTAAAACATTAAAATAAAATATAAATTGGAAACCTAGAAGAATTGATACAAAAATCAAACAATCCGAAATCCTAGCATGAATTTTTCTGAAGTGTGTTTAATTTTTGTTTGGAACGTAAACGCAGTGTGAAATATTTAAGATTGATTCAGGGTCGTCTTCATAAATTCACTGTAAATTCTATCTATATCTAGTTCAACATGTGTGGTGTGTAGTTTAAAATGATAAAAACACATTTAGGAAATCCACTATCTATATATTGATAGTACAAGGCTGGATATAGACAAATCTAATCAAAATATCTTAAATGAAGATTTATATCGACCTGATTTATACAAATATACATACAGAGAGCCCCAATAAACATAGGAATATACATACAGAGAGCCCCAATAAACATAGGAATATACATACAGAGAGCCCCAATAAACATAGGAATATACATACAGAGAGCCCCAATAAACATAGGAATCAAGTGACGACGTTAAGATCATCTTTGTAAAGAATTAGTATTGGAAAAGCTAGGTCTGCTTGGCACGCACCTCTGCCCCTTCAGTAAGAGTAAATTCAACCTTTATGAAGAATAAAGTCTGACCGCACCGGCTAGTCCTGTCCATAGAGCTAGGTACAGTACAATCTGGGAGCGGAAAGGTTGCCCCGGCCCGTAAATTCAAATGTACCACGGCTGCCCATATACGTCTGCTAACTGTTTGATGCATTCATAAAATGAACATTCTTTATTCAGCACAACAATTCCAATCAACACGTAATCAAAATTAAAAATGATTATTTAAAAAGAACGATCTGAATGTCGTCCCTCAATGCAAATGTTTCTTGGGACACCCTGTGTGTTTATTTATAAAAATGCCGATATAAATCTCAATTTAGATATTTTTAGTTGAGAAGTATATTTATCAAAAATATGAACACAAAAGGTAGAAAAGGGAGAAATATTTGATAAAATTAATTGATCTTGACAAAAGTAGAAAGACCTGACACATTTGCACTCGGGGATATCCTGATGTGAACCCAGAAATTAATTAAAGAAATTAGTTTAATGGGACTGTACCTACGTAACTCCACGTGACCATCGTTTTTAAGAATTCTTTATACGATTTTAACCTTTTGCACCTCTAGCTCTCACTGAGCTAAATTGATGGAGATAACCTTGTTTTCCTTTCTAAAAGACTTAAGATTTTAAATTTCGGGTCACTCAGAATTACGTCAACAGTCCTTGTATTATAAAACAAATTATTGTCCCAAAAAAGCTCTCTTTTTATTTGAAAAAAGAGGAAAAAAATAATTCTGGATTTCCTGGAAATCGGTGCACTCCGGGTCACAAAACCCTGTCTCAGCAGCTTCCAAGCACTAACAAGAATAAAGAATATTCTTTCAAAAATTAAAATTTTCAAAAACTTCAAAGTTATTTTAAAAGTTCAAATTATAGCAAGATTTGAATATTTAAAATACGTTTCATAAATACAAGTTTAAAATTACTAGATATCAAGATGGACAATCGACATATGTATTTTTAATCTGGAGATATAATTGTTTTACTCAAAATTACCACACTAATTTCATCAAAGAATTTTTTGTACATACAGTGTGTCCATCCAGTGAATTGTGAGAATAATTTAAAAAATAGATTCTCAAAACGTACCCACCCAAATGGATGTTTATGAACGTCAACTTTGCGCTCAAACTCAGTAATTATACATCATTAAAAGTTTTATATGTCTCAAATGAATCCTTAAAAAATTCTCCACAATATTACATTCTCAGTTCAACTAACATACATTGCCGGTCACTCCTTTTAAGTAATGTTTATACTAAATGTATAAAATAAGAAAAATTCAATTAAAATTGTTCTAAATTCGAATTAAAGAAATATTAAAAGTTAAAAAATAAAAGATTAGGGACATGATGCTAATTCAGTAAAACTACCTTTTGGGGACATTTTCGGTCACATTTACAACCTGAAAAAAATAGTTATATAAAATTCAAATCTAAATCAAACACGCTTTTTTCGAAACACAAGTTTGCAAGTAATTAAAGAGAAGCTTTTAAAATTAACAGCTTTCTTTGCTTCCATTTTTTGTGTAACCATGCTGTTTCAAAGCTTGATGTAAATCAAAAATTAAATCAATAAATTATAGACTTAAAAAGAATTCAGTATTAAAAAGCCAAGATTGAGTGGAACAACTTAGCATAAGTTGCACACAAATTACATTTTTCATTATAACGATACAAACGATTAGTATTGGACCAACTAAAGTTGATATAAATACACACGACATTCGCCTATGGCAAATATATTTCCATTTGACTCTTCTGATTAGATGCTTTGTGCTGACTGCCAAGTCCTAGGGGACTCCGGGGATAAAATGGCTAACAATCTGCTTTCTTGGCCAGCAAGATAAATGCCACTTCACTTCTTTCTCCAGCATTGATCTTACCCTAGCTGCCCTTTGAACTGCTCTTTAAATGGGATCGACTTGCTATCTCAAGATGGAAAAGGGGGTTCAATACCCTTGTCCACCTACCCTGTTATATATTTAAGGCTGCAAACATACATGGGGTTCAATACCCATTTGGACTGAATCTGGATGAACCCATTGTTGGGTTCACAATATTGATATAATTGCCTCCCACCGTCAGATTTAATTTATTGAAATAAAAATCAGCAAAGGTACAAATAAGCTTAGTAAGCACTGTATTATTTATTCCATGTGGGTAAATCCATATTTTTAACTGAACAAAAAAATTTAATTTTTTTCTTCTGGTTTCTCTTAGTTATAATTTCATTAAAGAAAGAGTTTAAATACAGTTTTACAATTACTTAGATTTTGTATAAAAATTAGAAACTCATTGAAAAGTTGTCAAGACGACATTTTATAAATTCTTTTGATTACTCCAAAGTTCTGGCTTAAACTATATATAAATAGGGAATTGTTTAAATAAGGAATAAATAAAACGGAATGTGAATATCAATAAAATTTTTTAGATTTCATTTAACATCCCAAACTAGGGTTTGCAGCAAAAAAGTAAAACTCGTTCGCAAAAATTTCGTATTTTTTGCAAAAAAAACGGAAATTAAGCCTAAACATTTTAGGAGTTGATCGCAACCAATATTAGTTCTATCTGATGTCTCTTTCTCAAGAATATGATATAAAACTGTGTCAAAGTTAAAGAAAAACTCAATATACATAATTTAGTCGACGAAATCTTTCAACGGCCATTGATGGAAATTTTGGTCATGTGATACAAACGTAACATTAATATTAACAGCTATATCTACTCAAAATGAAAAAGTACATTATTCAAATTATAATAGGAGCATACCTATAATCTTTAGGCAACTCTGGGTTATCATAATTTTCAGATTTTTTCAGCATCTGTTTAAAACTTTGATACTCTAATTTATATATATGTGACTTTTGGTATAATTTTGACACAGTTTTTTATAAATATCTTAAGAAAGAGACATCAGATAGAACTAATATTGGTCGCGATCAACTCCTAAAAAGTTTAGGCTTCATCCTATACCTTAACAGTCTCTTTAAGGAGCCAAAATAATACCAGATTTTAAGATCTTGTGAAGTTAGCATCAAGCAAGTACACTTATATAATAATATAAAAAACCAATTATAAAAAGCATTTTACCTTGAATACTCGTGTACTGGTCGCAGTCTTGGAGACACTCCCCTGATCATTATTTTTGATTAATTTGAATAATATTCTGAGATTATAAAACAATTTTTTACCTGTTTGGGCCGCCTTTAGACATTTTTGAGGGCAGGTTGGTATTTTTGCACAGCACTCGGCAGAACTGAATTATCATTATTTTGTAAAGAATAATGATGATAAATTGTTAGCATTAATAATTATAATAGCAACGTCTTTGATTATAATAAAAACTATTGTCAAAAACCGTCTAAACACATCGATAACAATTAATTAAATGATACAGTGAGGCCCATGACACTAAAGAATAGGAAGAGACGATATAAAAGTAATCTTATGTGCTCGAAAATCACCTTCAAGTGAGATGAGTCTTTGTAAACTGCTACGTGTGTTTTATGTACATTTGACTAATTCAAATGAACATGTACATTTGACTAATTCAAATGAACATGTACATTTGACTAATTCAAATTATATCCATATTTGACAGTTTTGTGAGTCTCAATGAATAAAAATAATGAAAGTAAAATGATTCTATTATTGATTTATTTAGATAAAAAATGTAATATTACTTAAAGGAGTTGTTCAACCATCTGAAAATTAAATAAAAATTCCACTTCAGACAGGTTGTAATTTGTTATAGTTTATTTGAACCCAGCAACATTTTAGGGCGGAAAAATCAAAAAAAAATAAAAATCGAGGTTTTACTTTTATTTCAAAATTAGAGAACAATCCCTTTAGAACCTGAATTTTTCACATTCTGGAAGACATTCCCCTGCCTAGAAAAAAAAACAATATTATCTAGATATTCTAGAATATCTAGATTATCTAGAATATCTAGAATATCTAGAATATCTAGAATATCTAGATTATCTAGAATATCTAGAATATCTAGAATATCTAGAATATCTAGAATATCTAGAATATCTAGAATATCTAGAATATCTAGAATATCTAGAATATCTAGAATATCTAGAATATCTAGAATATCTAGAATATCTAGAATATCTAGAATATCTAGAATATCTAGAATATCTAGAATATCTAGAATATCTAGAATATCTAGAATATCTAGAATATCTAGAATATCTAGAATATCTAGAATATCTAGAATATCTAGAATATCTAGAATATCTAGAATATCTAGAATATCTAGAATATCTAGAATATCTAGAATATCTAGAATATCTAGAATATCTAGAATATCTAGAATATCTAGAATATCTAGAATATCTAGAATATCTAGAATATCTAGAATATCTAGAATATCTAGAATATCTAGAATATCTAGAANAGATAACTTGAAAAACACAGGTTTCTATGTGAAAGTGACTTTTGGATCTATGCAGAGGACAGTACAGAACATTTGCAGAACTAGTAATTGTTCAAAATAATTAAAATGAAGATATCCTTATTATTGTTAATCAGATAAAGGTATAAAAGGGAACCTTTGTGAATCATACATTCCGTTTTACAAATAGGGGAGCACCAGAAATTACGTCTTTAATCAGTTTAGTTAATCAGTGTCTTTTGGAAAACATTGTCAGCTGTTGAGGTTCCTACCAATGCAGCTGTTTTACACGTGTCGGAACAGCTGTTTTCTGGACTGTTGTAGTTGTAACACCATCTTGTTACAACTGGATACTCAACCATTCTTAATAAATAAAAATTAGAGATTATTTAAATATTTTTTTGTCATCAGACAATCTGAATCTTTTTTATGGTTTACCTTGGAGATCTAAGGACTCTGTTACAAACTTCTTTTGGCACATCTTAAAAATGGAACTTTTTTTAATGCAAAACAATGCAGGCAATATGGGTTTGCAAGGAGGGATGACAGTAGAGTACATAATTAATCAAAGTTTATGATTTATTTGGGGGTAAGAGGGTTAGAGGAGAACTATAACGGTAATTAGTCCCCATAAGTTGTTCCTAGTATTTACTGTTGAAAGAGCCATCTATTGACTATTTTTTGTATTAAAGTTCCACAGTTTCCTAAACAGGTTTCTACTTCCTTTAGCTGGGGAACCAGGCGGGTAACAAATTTACAAACCTGTCTAGTTTTAAAAAAATTAAATACTTGTTAATCATATGCTTAAAGGGACTGTAAGCGTAATTTAAAGTGTCCCTCTATGCAAAGATGTCAATGCCCGATTTACTTGTGACATGGAAACGCCTCAATACAGAAACGCCTAACTACGGAAATGGATCTAAAATTACTTTTGAGGAATTTCCGCTTTTTCTTTAGAAATTCGAGTTCAAATTCAAATTCAAACGTTCAGAATTGTTGATTTCCGAATATTTTGTATCCATTTCCCAATATTAATAGTTAAATGGTTTTCAAAAACTTTAAGAATATCAAGTTGTTGACCGCTTTCCTCAAATTTTTGATCTGTTTCCTCATATTTTGATCCGTTTCCACTTTTTTCAAAAACCTTCAAAATCTCAATTTGTTGATTGGTTTCCTCAAATTTTAGGGCTGTTTCCTCATATTTTTGATCCGTTTCTGCTTATTCCAAAACTTTAAAAATATCNACAAATTAAAACAGGCCTGTAGCTAGGATTTCAAAACAAATTGCTTATGGATTATTAAAAACTATTTTAACGAAGAGTTAATTTCATAAAGATGGTTTTTTTTTTATTGTACAAGCCAAATATCTTTTATGGAGACCAAAATGCATGGCATAAAGACAGAATGGTGAAGGCTTGGAGACAGTTTTGCGGGGCTCCGGATCAATAATATGGAAGATATTTAAATTTCTATGTTTCCTTCCGTAAAATACTTTTGCAGAGAAACCATGATTGGCAAGAATCAGTATTTGAAAATTGTTAACATTGATATCTAATTCATACTTGATCGGACTCAGTTTTTAGAGGTACTGTTGTGAATCAGGCATTGCCATCTTTGCATAGAGGGTTACTTAAACATTAAGCTTACAGTCCCTTTAATCAAAATATTTATTAATATTTTCGATAAAAAGCTGGTTAATTTCAATGGTGGATTCGCCGTAAAAGGGAGTTGCAGATTTCTTGGTACAGAAGTAATAGAAGGAATTGTGAGAATTAAGAACTTTTCAAGCTTAAATAACCAAGTATTGGATAAAAAAAGGTTTTTATCAGGGGGTAACAAACTCTCTGAAAGTGAATTTCAAATGTAGTTTTCATTAAATTGATTTAAAGAACACATTAAAAATTTCGTTTCGGAGGAAAATTAAAAATACAATTTTTTCAGAATAAAAATATTATTTAATAGTATTTAGGTTTCCTTGGTTGAATTGTGCAGACCTCTTCTGGTTTATCAAATATCAAGGTTTTAGGTTTCTCATAACATTCTTCCACACCTTCTCTCCAACCACATCCACTACAAGTCAGAGGGGTATTAAAGGAGGGGGGGTGGGACTACAGTCAGTAAAATCTGTAGTTTCAAGGGGGGTTTCAACTCCGAACGGATGCTTAGCCCCTCCCCTAGCTGGAAAGAAAAAATTCAAGCATCCCCCCCTTTGGGCGAATTCCTGTATATATTTATTAATAGCTATTGGGGCTTATACGCCAAATGTGATAAAAATGTTAATATACAAATATCATAATATTATTCTTACGATTCGAAAGGTTTTGCAAAAATATTGAATTCATAACTTAACAAATCTAGTTTAGAATATGGAGTTATACCAATATATTGTAGTTTAGACTATAGAGTTATACCAATATATTGTAGTTTAGACTATGGAGTTATACCAATATATTGTAGTTTAGACTATAGAGTTATACCAATATATTGTAGTTTAGACTATAGAGTTATACCAATATATTG